AAGATCAGGCCAGTGAATGAACCAATGCCTCAATATCTCAATCCTCCACTTCAAAGACCATCTCTGTCGAGGGATCCTTATGAAACTCCTGTTCTCAAGACTCCTCCTGAATTTATTGAAACTGAAAAAGTTACTGAAGAAAGACTTAAGATGGTTAATTTTGGTCCGCCTGGTTGGTTAAGTAGTGAAGAAATGAAATTAATTTTACATGTTATTGTCTTAAGAGAAAAATCAATTGCATTTAATGAAAGTGAAAGAGGTGTTTTAAGACATGAATATGGATTACCTTACATTATTCCTGTGGTTGATCATGAGCCTTGGCAGAAGAAAGTTATTCCAATTCCTAAAGCTAAAAGACATGAATATATTGAATTAGTCAGACAAAGATTGAGAACTGGTTTATACGAGCAAAGTACTTCAAGTTATTCAAGCCCAGTATTTTGTGTAATTAAGCATGATGGAAAACTTAGAGTAGTTCATGATTTACAAGAGTTAAATAAAGTTACAATTAAGGATGCAGGTGTACCACCGGCTCCAGAAGAATTTGTTGAAGCTTTTGCAGGAAGGTCATGTTATGGACTTGGTGATATTATGGGTGGTTATGATGAGAGGGAATTGGCGGTTGAGTCAAGACCTTTGACTACTTTTGAGACTCCTTTAGGTAGATTTCAATTGACTAGACTTCCTCAAGGTGCAACAAATTCAGTTGCAGTTTATCAAGCTCAAATGATGTGGATTTTACAAGATGAGATTCCTGAACATGCGGGTGTATTTATTGATGATGGTGGAATTATGGGTCCAAGAGATGATTATGACAATGAAGTTTTATTTGAAAATGAAGGAATCAGAAGATTTATTTATGAGTATGCGGTTACATTGGAAAGAATTTTATTCAGAATTGAGGAAGCTGGACTTACGGTTTCGGGAAAGAAGTTTGCTGCATGTGTACCTGAATTAGAAATTGTAGGACATGTAGTTGGTTTTCATGGGCGCACTATTTCAGTTAAGAAGAGGAACAAAATTCAAACTTGGCCAGTACCAAAAGATCCAGGACAAATTAGAGGCTTTTTAGGTGTATGTGTGTATGTAAGAATGTTTATTGAAGGTTTCTCTGAGTTATCTTCTCCTTTAAGAAGATTAACAAGGAAGGGAGTTGATTGGGATTGGGATAGTTTATGTCAAGATGTATTTGAACAATTGAAGGAAATTGTAGGTAGAGAAATTACTTTGAAGAGTATTACTTATGGTGAAGGTGCGGGTAAATTAAAATTAGCAGTTGATTCAAGTTATATTGCGGCTGGTGCGGTATTAACTCAAGAAGATAAAATTAAGAAAGATAGACCAGTGTTGTATGAATCTGTTACATTTACTGAAGTTGAATCAAGGTACTCACAACCAAAATTAGAATTATGTGGAGTTGCAAAGATTTTGAAGAAATTACAAGTTCATTTATGGGGTCAACATTTTGAGTTACAAGTAGATGCTAAAGCTTTGATTCAAATGATTAATACTCCTGATTTACCAAATGCTCCTATGACAAGATGAGTTTTCTTTATTCAATTATTTTCTTTTGACTTGGTTCATAAAGCAGGTAAGACTTTTACTATGCCAGATGGTTTATCACGCAGACCTCAAGATAGTGATTTAGATAGTGATGCTGAGGAATTTAATGAAGAAAAGAAACTTATTGATGTTGCAAACAATGATTATGATTTTGGAATTTATTGTGGAGATTTAATTATCAATGAAGATTTAATTGATGGTGACGTAAGATGGGAACAAGTTGGATTCTGGAAACACTTAGTCAATTATTTAGAAAATTTAATCAGACCAGAAGATATTAGTGATGAAGAATTTAAATCAATTAAGAGGAAGAGTGATAAGTTTTATTTGGATAATGGAAGGTTAATGCGGCGGCAAAATCCTATGGCTCAGGTTGTAGTTACAAATGTTGAAGGTCAAGATTGGATTTTAGAACAATTACATGAAGGTTTAGGTCAGAGAGGAGTTGAAGAAACTTACAGAAGAATAGTACTTAGGTTTTGGTGGCCAAGTTTGAAGAAGTCTGTGCGGGAATGGGTTCAAAGTTGTGAAGCTTGTCAAAAGCGGAGTTCTTTAACACCTAAAGAATTGGGTCATGCTACAGGTGAAGCTACTTTATTTGGTAGAATTAGTATGGATGCTGTACATATTAAAGCTGGACAACATAAATACTTAGTGGTTGCTAGAGATGATTTATCAGGATGGGTTGAAGCGGTACCTTTGGTAAATTTAAAGGCGGATAAGGTTGCTGAATTTTTAGAAAAAGAATGGATATTTAGGTATGGTGCAATCAAAATGGTTACAGTTGATGGAGGTGGTGAATTTAAAGATGAATTAGTCAAGGCGGTTGAAAGTTGTGGAGCAAAACTTAGAATTGTTACACCTTATTATCCACAGGCAGCTGGAATGGTTGAGAGAGGTCACAAGCCAATCAAGGATACCTTAGTCAAAATGTGTAGTACAAATCCAAGTGCTTGGCGGAAGACTTTACCAATGGTTTTATTTGCAGATAGAATTTTAACAAAAAGAACTACAGGAATTTCACCTTATGAGATGGTTTTTGGTCAAAGAGCGGTCTTACCTGTTGATGTTGAGGCTGGAACTTTCTTAGGAGTTAATTGGGAAGAAGTACATACAAGAGCTGAATTATTAGAAGCAAGAACTGAACAATTATTAAGAAGAGAAGAAATGATGGATAATGCTTACAGTAAAATGATGAGAGTTAGAGAAGAAAGTGTTAGGTATTGGGATAAGAAAAATGCGCACAAATTAAGGAAAAGTCCTTTGGAAGTTGGTGATATGGTTTTAGTTTATAATGCGTCTTTAGAAAGTCAATGGGGTAAATTATTTGAAAACAGATGGAATGGTCCTTATAAAGTCAAAGAACAATTACATATGGGGTCTTTCGTTTTGGAAGAATTAGATGGTACTGAATTACGGCGAAGGTATGCGGCTTCTCATGTCAAGAAATTTTATGCAAGAGGAACAAATGAATTAGAAGAGGGTACAGATGAAGAAGATTTAAATGAACAACAAAGTGGTGAAGATTTTGTGGATGAAGATTCAAGATGGGAAGAAAGTGATGAGGAGTTTGATGTTTAAATTAAAATTACAAAAGTAAATAAAAATATAATATAGATTGCGGTTTCTGTTGGACTTATTTTTTAGATTTTTTATGGTTATGTTTCTTTTGAGTTATGTTTCTTTATATTTTTCTTTTCCTTTTTATGTTATGGTTTCTTTATTGAATCACGGCAGTGGGTTACTTCAGAGGCGGATTTCTTTATTTTAAAATTCAGTTGCGGGTTAATTTTCGATTTTCTTAGATTATGGTTATGTTTCTTTCATTTCATTTTATTTTTCTTATTCATTCAATCAATTATTCAATCAAGAGGGTATTAAAAAAATCATATTAGTGAAGAGGGAACAAAACCCAAAGTAGTGGCGGGTTCTTCACTTATCAATTTATTTTATCAGTTTTTTTTTATAGTCTTAATTTTTTCCTTTTGGTTATTTGGGTTTTTTTTATAAATTTAGTTGGCAGGGTTTCCAATTTTTTATTTTTTATTCTTACAAAGGTTCTTCAAAATTTACGGGTGCTAAAATTACTTCAACAAAATTATTGAAGTTAAAATTATTTTAACAAAAGTCATACAAGTTAAATGGGTCATACAAAATTTACAATACAAAAATTTATTAGCGGCAGGTTCAAATTAATCATATTCAGCGTGAAGGTTTTATCAAATCAATGGTTATGTTTCATTTTATTATTTCATTTTTTATTTCACTTACTTTAATTATCATTCAAGGCGGTCATGGGTTCATTATTTAATCAACATCATAGAGGCGGGTTTCAATTAATTCTCAAAACTTCAAGTTACGGTTATATTTCATTCATATAGAGTCTTTGGTTATGTTTCTTTGGTTATGTTCCAATTTTTTCTTAAATTACACTTTTTTTTATTTTGGGCGCGGAGTTTACAATCAAAATTAAACATCAAAATTATAAATGAATCAATTTTAGGGGTATCAAATCAATGGTGAAGAGGGAACAACAAAACATAGCTGTGGCGGGTTCTTCACCTCTTTCTTATTTTCTTATTTTCATTTTCTCGTGTTTTTCATTTTTTTTCTTTCATTTTATTTTGGGGCACAACTACTTTACAAGTTAATCATTCACATCAGGGCGCAATACATCACATAAATTACATTCAACGGCAGCGGGTACAATTATTTACATGTCAGGCAGAATTATTCATACAAGGTTACGAGTTTCAAGTTCAAAACTTATTGGTTATGTTTCTTTTATCTTATTTTTCTTATGTTTCATTTATGGTCTTGGGAAAGGTCCTCACTGAAAGATGTGAGAGGCGTGGAGGGAAGTTTGGAAGATGTGGAAAAAGGACCCTTACTCATATTTTACGTAAGGGGTAAAATTTTATAATCAATTTATAATTTCAAGTATAATAAGTTGTAGTTACAGGTACAACAAACAATAGGTTTTAATTATATTATTTATAAGAAACCTTTTAACTCTTACAGATTTTTAATCTTACATATTCAAATTTACACTTTTAGAATAGGAGCTTTTTTTTAGGCATACTTAATCATAATTTATCATAATTATTCTCAATTCTCATCTGGCTCAACTCATCAAATTCTCACAATACATCACATCAATTTATTAGAGGAGGTGTAGGCAAAAACCCATTGGTTTTGGGGGAGTGGTCAAGTTCAAATGAGAACATTCAACATACTTGATCTTGTATTTCAAGAGTCAATCAGATAACAAAAGTAAAACAGAACAGATATTTATTAAAGGTCAACTGTATTGAAATTCAGAAACAAAGATAGGTCTAGGTCTAAATAATCTTGAGTTGTTTGATAAGAGCTCTAGGTTGAACTAGAAAATAGAAAAGATAAAAGATAAAAGTTTATCTTGAAGAGTGGGTTGATGGTTAGACTCGATCTTTCCCTTTTGAGGAAGATCCAGTGGAGGAACCTTCAGAATCGTTCCTACAGGTAAAATATACACAAATAAATCGATTGTCAGTACGAATACATAAAATAAATTCAATTCAACTAGAATTATTAGAAGCAAAAAGAAGAAAAATAAAAGTAAATGTAATTTACATTTCTAATGCAGGAACGATGCTTGGAGAACTTCGTTTTTCCAACCCTTTTTGACCTATGAAGTGGAGTTTCCTGAGAGTCTTAGCGCGGTCATCGATTTCTTCCTCATTAACGGCAACATGACCTTTAAAGTGTTTGAAGACCTCGGAATACATGGAAGAAATGCAAGATTCGATTTCGTCGGAAGGGTACACAGGTTCTTTGTTGAGAATTACCTTAGGACCAAGCAAATTTTTGTATCCATCAACTGACAAAGGAGTGCTAAAGATAAATTTGGGACCAACTTCAATCGGAGGTGGTAAAACTGGAGGTTGGTGCGATTTGTCGTTAGTACGAGCTGCAGGTGTATTAGAATTGGCAGGGGGTGAAATATCTAAAATGGGGTCATTGGCGTAGTGTTTTGATCGGTTATGATTGATTTTGAGCTTAGAAGGGTCTGGAAGCGAGCTGTTGAGTCGGTTACGTTTAGGGCTAGGAGAATTGGCTACTGGCGGAGATTGAAATGGACCTAGGTTGACTAGTTGAGGAGTCTGAGCCCGAACTGGAGCTGGGGTGACAGAAGGTACGATGACAACTGGGACAGTGGTGATAGTGTGAGGTGATCGAGCATGAGGGGGAGTCATTAAGTTGTCGTCCTTGGAATCATTGTCACGATGTGTTTTCTTGGGAGTAGAGGGGATGCGCTTGAAATTAGGAGAAGAGGCTATGGGATCAGGAGGGCGATCGAACGTTTTGTTCCGTTTCTTGTTGGATCGTCTAGCAGCCATTTGCTTAAGCTCGGCTTCGCGTTGTTTGCGTGGTGGGATGGGAACTCCGTCCATATCCATTATAGCTAATATCAAATAATGAATGAGTTGAAAAGAATCAGTACAAGTGAACAATTTATGAGTTAGAGCTTTGAGGGTTGGGAGAGATTAATAGAAAGATATGGAAGAGGGAGATGAGAAGTGAAGTGGGAAACTTGCAGTTTTCAATAATGTAGTAATGAGGGTATTCTCTAATTCGTTCGGTATCGTTGGAGGAGAACGTCGCTTGAAAGGCTTCAAGTCTTTTAAATGAATCGGTGTCCATCGAGTAGTTGTCCCATGCGAATAGATGTAACGAAGTCGTTGGGAAAACTGAGTTCATAAGCCCGTTATCGTACATCGTAGACTTTAGAATAAGACTGTTAATCAAATGTCTTGAAGGAGTTTTTGTTTTGGATATCTTGAAAGTGCTACTTACTGGATTTGGTCTTGACATATAGGTTAAGTTTGGTTTGGCAGGATCGAAGCGATGGGGACGTTGCTGGGTTTTGGGGGAGGCTGTGGTAATCAAAACTACAGTTTGAATGTATTTTGATTTTTTTCTTATTATAATTTAATTTATTTTTTTATTATGAATTAATTTAGTTTTTTTTATTTTTTTTATCATTACAAATTTAAATTATTTTTTATCTTATTTTATTATTTTCTATTCTTTTTTATAATTTCGATATTTTAATTTTTTAATTTTAATTATTACTTTTTTTTATTATCACAAATTTTATATTTTTAATTTTTAATTTTTTTATTTTGTTAACTTTTAATCTTGAATTTTATTTTATTTTTTTTATTTTATGGGTTTATGAGGTATGGGTTAGTTAGGGGTGTATGGGATATGTAGAGTACATAAGTGTTAAGTGGTAATTTCCAAAATTATGGGTTGTGCATGGTTTTATTAAGGTATGCAGGATTTTATGGGTTTTCCATTATGGGTTTGAACAAGGCTGAATTTCGAAAATTGAGGACTTGGAGGAAAAAGTAGGGTGGTGGTAAACTGAGATAAGCTTTAGGGTTCAAAGTCAAATGGTCACCATAGTAGATGTTACAACAACAAAGTTTTGCAATACAACATTGAAAATGACAATTACATTTGACACAGGAGAATTTCCGACATTACAAAACTTGACAATGACTTTCGAAGACTGAGAAATGCATAGTTTTGGCAGGGAACTTTGAATTCAAGGGTACCACAGCACCATTTCAGGGTAGATGTTAGTTGGGGTAGATTCTATTTTCGCATATTTCCCAACAACTTTAATTTTAAACATCATCCTTATCAACTTTAGTGGTAATATCAGGTGGTAAACTGGGTAAATCCAATTTCGAGTATTTTCACATAAAATCGCATTTCATTTTAAGGGTACAACCAATAGAGTTAGAGTTTAGCTTGGCTGAGCAAAGTTGTAGAGCGGCAGCAGCCTTTTTTTTCTGTCTCTTCAGAATTTTTATATGGTCCCTTTTTCTTATCTTAATTCAGCTTTGAAGGGAAAATGGCGGAAATTTGGGTTTTTGTGGTAAACAGCTAAGTTATAGTGCTGCTTGTGAGCTTGAAAGTTTGTAGATTGTCAATGTGTGTGCGCTGAATCTGTCTATCAACTTTATTTTGGGGGTTCATTGAGAGTTATGCTGTGAAAAAGTTGTATGAAGGTGAATTTCGAGTTTGAGGGGTGTTTTTTGTCTTATCTTTTTTTTGTGTGTGTTTCAATTTTGATATAGTCAAGTGTCTCTTTTCTTCCCCTTTGGGATCCTTTTATTTAGCAAAAATTATTATTAGAATTGAGAATAAAGCTTTGTATCTTTTTATTATTATTATCTGGGTAAACAACTAATGAAAGTTGGGATTTTATAATATTAGACCCTTTATTCACTTTTAATAATTTCTTGTTGAGTTGAAAGCTCATTTGCTCATTTGGAAGGTGCCTGAGTGCGCCTAGATAGTGCTACTTTTGATTTTATTATCCTCTTTTAGCCTGGTTCTTATTAATCCAAAGACTTGTAGGTCTTAAATTTAATTCATCAGTAATCAAAGTCCTTGTTTAAGAAGGGCATTTCTTTCTTTGTTTGAAGTCTTTCAATTCACCATCTCAAGACTTATTCTTCTTTTGATTGTGTGTGTTGTTGATTTGGTCTTCATTCTTCCCCTTCTTGGCTCTGCTTTCAGCTGTGTACTGAAAGAGTTCTACAACGGATTGAAAGAGAAGGGACTCTTACCACGCAAAACTCCCACAAATTGGCCTACACAACCAACATGACCCGCTTTCACCTCTCGCCCCTCCACTAACGACTTCATATGGAAGATTCACTCGTTTTTGGATTCAAAAGGACTTTGTCATTATTGCAAACAACAATGTGGGAGCGAGCACGGCTCCTGCACAGGAGCACCGGACCGATCGCGGATTGTGTTTCCTCCCAACTACATCGTGCCGCCCAAACCACCCAACTACAAACCTCCACGAGCGAAACTAGCTCATACCCAAGCAGGGCAACCTACTCACCCGCCAGCAGGTCGACCTTCTCGCGCCTCAATTGCTGCAACGTCGTTACTGAATACAGACAACAACCCCTTCTCAGCTCTTACCTTCCCAGAACTAGACTCAGCTAGCGTAGCAGCATTTGCAGCAGTCGATGAACTAGTCCGCGAAGATCACCTGTCCCCGGATTCCGAAGGATCAGGAGACAATCGTCCAACAGAGGCTGAGTACGTATCTGATCAACCTGAGCATCGGCCAACAGTGATCATAGAGTTGATGTGCAAAGGTACAACTCTTTGTGCTTTAGCAGATGCCGGTTCAGAAACGAACTTGATGTCAAATCGAACCGCTGATCTCCTTAACCTCCGTCGTCGAAAACTTGTGAAACCCACGATCGTAGGTCTCGCCCTCGATGCATCAGGCACAAGACCAATACTGACGGATTTTGTGGTCGACAACCTCACCCATTCATCTTCAGGGACGATCTTCAGTCGAACATACATGAAGCTGGGAGATTTGGGTTCATCTTACGACATCATTTTGGGTGCACCCTTTCTTGCAAAACATCAACTCTCTGTGTCTTGTTCCCAGAACTGTGTATCTAGTGAAGTTTCAACCTTGACAATTCATGACTACCGTCACTTATTAAAGATGCAAGGAGAGCTTGAAGAGAAAAGAGATGTTGTGAGAGTGCAAAGTGAAGAGCTGCAGTGGAAGAACTGGGTAGCAAACTTGAGACAGCAGAATGAGCCCGAGAGAAGTAATCAGTGGGTCAAGTGGGAGAGAGAACTACTTACCAAATATCAAGACATTTTCCCCCTTGAAATTCCAGCGGTATCAGACAAAGCAGAGGAACGAGGTGAATTCACGGACGGTTCTTTTCCCGAAAAAATGCAAGACCCATCCTCAAAGATTCGTCACCGAATTGTTCTGACAGACCCAAACGCGGTAATTAACGAGAAACAGTATCCCTATCCACGTAAGCACATGGATGCGTGGCAGAAGCTGGTCAACCAACATCTCGCAGCTGGACGAATACGACGTTCCACGAGCCAATACGCCTTGCCAAGCCTCATTATCCCAAAGAAGGACCCTAACGAACTCCCAAGGTGGGTATGCGATTACCGCACCTTGAATAGCCTGACCGTGAGGGACAGATCTCCGTTGCCAAACGTTGATGAGTTGGTCAGGTTGGTCGCAGGCGGCAAAGTTTTTTCCATTCTTGACCAGACAAATGCTTTTTTTCAGACTTGTATGAGAGAGGCTGATATTCCTCTAACAGCGGTGAAGACGTCATGGGGACTTGTGGAGTGGGTAGTGATGCCGATGGGCCTCACAAACGCACCAGCAACACATCAAAGTCGCCTAGAGGAAGCTTTAGGAGACCTCCTCAACGTGGTTTGTGTGGTTTACCTAGACAACATTGTGGTCTTTTCTAACACGGCTGAAGAACACAAAGTCCACACCCAATTAGTCTTAGAATGTCTGCGCAAGGCTAATCTATACTGTAGTAGTAAGAAGACAAAACTCTTTCGAAAAGAGATTAAATTCCTGGGACACTTCATCTCGGCGGACGGCGTTAAACGAGACCAAGAAAAGGTCGAGAAGATTCTTAATTGGCCCTCGCCCAAATCGCTGCGCGGTGTCAAGAAATTCCTTGGCACTGTCCAATGGATGAAGAAATTCATCCAAGGACTCGAGAAGTATGTAGGTACTCTTACACCTCTAACGAGTTCCAAGCTTGATGTGAAGAATTTTACATGGGGTGATCGAGAAGAGAGTGCTTTCAACAATATCAAGAATATCATGACATCTCTGCCTTGTTTGAAAAACATAGATTACGATTCAACTGATCCTTTGTGGCTATTCACAGACGCAAGTGGACTGGGCCTGGGAGCGGCACTTTTTCAAGGAAAAGAATGGGAAACAGCCAACCCTATCGCCTACGAGTCACGCCAAATGTCGAGTGCCGAACGCAACTATCCGGTACATGAACAAGAGCTCTTAGAAGTAATACACGCTTTGCAAAAATGGCGCATGTTACTTCTAGGCATGAAAATCAACATTATGAGTGATCATCATTCATTGACTTATCTACTGAAGCAACGTACCCTCAGCAGACGCCAAGCACGCTGGTTGGAACACCTAGCAGACTTTGAACTCGACTTCAAGTACGTCAAAGGTCCGGACAACTCGGTTGCTGATGCCCTTTCGCGCAAGGACGGCGATGAGCCGGACGAATTCCTGGTCGGAGTCGACACCATTGCGGCTCTGGTATTGACGAAACCCAAACTTTCAAAGGAAATACGCTCTAGTATTTTGACGGGTTACACTACAGACCCTTTTTGTCAAGACGTGCGCAAAGTATTACCTTTACGGGACAACAGCACTGAAGAAGACGGACTCCTGTTCATCAAAGGCCGACTAGTGATCCCCAATGATAAGAGCCTTCGCCGGAATCTCATGACCGAATCCCACCGACGCTTAGGTCACCTTGGATTCAAGAAGACAATCACCAGTCTACGGAGAGACTTCTTTTGGCCAAAGATGGCA